CAGCGTCGAGAATTTCGAATTCAACGCAAAACACGATAGTTGGGATACAGGAGAAGGTTGCAAAGCTTTCTCGCGCGCGTCGCAATCTGGATAGTCTGATTGCAAAGAAAAAAGAGAAGGAAGGAACAATGCTCTACGAAGATTACTATCCGATATTTGTCGGTTAACTTCGATCGCGTAGGTGATCGTTCGAAAACCATCTTGAAAAAGCGCGAGAAAGGATAATGGTCGGCAAAAATAAAAGAACAGAATTTGTCATGTCGTTGGAGCACCGCGCTCAATTTATCTATTGTACACGCATCCGGATGTATCGATGCAGCTCCTCTCTCATGAGAATAAAAAGCAATTTTTATGTATCACAATGTCCATACGCACCGTACGCTGTGCATCAATGTGAACGACTTACTTTTGCGTTTTGGAATTTAATCCGCAGCTATTGCAACATACTCGACAAATTGCTTAAAACAGGATATATTTTGAAATTGTTTTATTCAATCGAAGCAAAGGAAAGAGCTATAAAATAAACATTTCAAATAAACGACCAACGATACAAATCAAAAATATACATATTACATTCAGAAAAATACATTAACATTCAAAAAAATATTCAGTGATTATTTTGAAGTTGAAATATTTACGGATGTACTTCACAAGCTATTAAAAATAATAGAATTTCATGAAAAAATTAAAGCTTATTTTTCCTCATTCAATTTTTTAGTATGTTTTATTTAAAAGTTTTTAGTATATTTTTTTTTTTAGTATATTTTTATTTTTATCAATTTTCGTTTTATTTTAAAGCTTATTGTTAATGTTATATATGTTTAAATATTGTTAATGTTATAATGTTTATTTGCTAAATCTTTAAAGAAAAGAATAAATTATTTTTATTTAGCGATGAATTGTATTAATTAAATTAATCATTTTAAAAAAATTATATATAAATACTTATATAAATAAAAAAGAGATATATAAAGAATATTTCCAATGTTTTTAAAGTAAATTTTTTTCAAATTTCTCTTTCTCTTTTTGTGCTTTAATTATTAAGAACTTTATAATATATATTTTATTACAAAAGCTATGTTATTGATTTAATAATGAGCTTATAATATTTATCTTAATTTAATAGATTAAATACATATTATAACAAAAATTCTAAATTTTGTAATCAAACATTGTAAAATTAATTTCGCATATATTATATATACATTTAGTATTTTCGCTTATTTTTATTTATTAGAAACTTTGAGATAATCGAACAAGAATTTTATTATAAATTTTTAATCGGTATTTTATTATATTATGTAAATATTCGTGATTCGTGTGATCAAAACTACCATATTATTTACATTTGATTACTGACGGCAAATAAAAGTTATAAATATAAATCTAAATATGAAATTCGTGAAAAAGAAAATATTCGCAATGCTCACAATTGTCGAAACTCTCATCGTATTGCTTTTTATGTTTTTATCCGCTCATATGGATATCACGCACCGCTCGAATTGCTCGATATAAAATTTAAAAAAATTATCCTTTCGTGCACGGTAAATAAAAGAGATGAAATTATACGCACGCTCATCGAGATTTCGTCAATTTATTGAAGAGGAAACTATTCTGAAAATATTCATTGGAATGCGCGTTTAGATTTTACCTGCTGGCCGAAAAGTACAACAATTTATCAGTTGTTATATGGACACAATTTTGACATTAAAAGTAAATCCAATTGCAATTATTCAAATGAGAAATTTATTATAATATTACTCATACTGATACGCTGACGATGCCACGCTCATCAGTCGTAGGTAAGAAGTCTGCTTTTTGCACATAGCTGTCACGACAGTTTATTATCCCATTAAGAGAGGATATCATGCGCCGAGTTACATGCCTTCGCGAAAATTTTGTCAGCAGTTTTCTTGGGGTTCAGCCAGAATGCCACTATATTTTATATTAAAAGAAGACATTGACGAGATAATAATTAATGATAATTAAATATTTTAATGAAATAATTATATTGCATATATAAATATGTATTATAATAATAAAGTATTGATCTTAAAGATATCATTGTGATAGATATTTTTTGATTTAATCGTTTTTCTCGATAACAGAATGAAGAATGTATCGAGGAGATAATGTTGACAGAGATTTTCTCAGTGAAATTCGTTAAAATTTTTTTTCTTTACTTTATTGATCGACGAGCGAGCAAATGAAATAAACTGCTCATTAGCTTTTAGCGAACCGTGACATTTCGATTCAATTTAATGCGCACGGAAAACAGAATTTTTTTTTCTTGCGTTTTATCTTTTCTTCAGAGACTTTAATTAAATCGTATTCAATGAGAAAATATACCAAAATGAATAAGTAATGAATAAGAAGTTTAAACAAATGAATATTAATATTCATATGATGAATAGTAATATTCATACGATAACCATGATAAGAAGAATAGTTTTAATTAATTAATTAATTATTGCCAGCCTATATCTTGATAAATTAACGCTCTCTATGTTATCGAGATTCTATAATCTTTTGCAAACAATAATAAAAAATTATGTGATAACATAAAGAAGAAATAAATTGCAGTGAATAAGAGAGGTTTTGTTAGCTGATAATGACATCTTAAAAAGACATTATAAAGATTCAAGATATAATATATTATCGTCTTATAACGTCTCATAATTCTTATTACTAAAGTTAAGAATACTATGTACGCGTGACAAAGGCCATAACTTCGAGTGTAACTTAAAATGTCAGAACTTTTACGTTTTTTATATTTACATTCAACGTCTTTCGAAAGTGTTAACTTTCATATTTTTGCAGTGCAAAGAGTAATTAAATATGAAAACATTAATAAGCTGAAATATAAAAATAAAAAATCGAATAGATTATATATAAAATATATATGTCTTCGGCCTCCTTAAATAAAATAATTTTATTATACTATCATTGTTTTAATTACACGTTCTACTTCACTGCAGTATATATTTTAAAAAACATTGTAGTTTATACTTAATAAATGTAATCAATATTTGTCTAAAGTAAAAGATTACAAAATTACAAATCCTCTATAGAAGATTTAAGAAGTTTACGTGCTCGCCGCAGTCTCAATAGAATGAACACCATTTGTTCGGTGAAAATTAATCGAACCGTGTTCGTGAACGAATCTCTGCTGTGCAAGACTCGTTGGAATGATTTCTCTTATCTCGGAAAAAGACGAACGGACCGGGAAATATTCCTTTTGAAAATCTGTCTTCAGAAATGCGAGATTTCACGACTAACGGATGACAGTTTAGGCGAACATCATCGTTGATGAATGCGAACTTTATCTCAATCCTCTTTGCATAGGAAGTGGTCAGGCTCGTTGTCCACTAACGCGGATAAAACGACTTCGTTTCGCTCCTCGGTCCCCTATCTGCACTCTTCCAGAGAAAGTATAGAATCAACTTAGATACTCCTTCCTCTTTTCGCTCCCTCTCCCCCTCCGCTCTCTCTCTTTCTCTCTTTCTCTCTCTTTCACTTCCATCCTTTGCTTCCATTCTTTCCGCTTTTTGCTTGGTACCACAACGCGAAGAACCCTCGGAGCCATTTCGTAGTCGATATATGCGCTGCTTCGCTTATCCTATCCTTAAACCTTTGTATGCTCCATTTGCGATTTTCTTCTAAGTTTTATAGTTTCAGTAACGCCGTTTCATATATTCGCGTTATCTCCCGCTGAAGGATATAAATGTTTAGGATATACACACCTCTTGGTGATATATAATTACAAATTTATCTGAGGCGAACATTAGCGAGCCACATGATTCGTTCCTAGCGCGAAACCTTCCTCCACCCCGCATAAATCCCGCGCTATGAAGCTTTAATTCCTCCTCGCAAAACGTACGACGAGAACATTGTCAAATATACGAGCTTAATTCAAGAGCGTGGTCAGGCTCGGGCGGGCACAGTAATCCAGGTGGGAAGCAATTTCGGTTCTTCATCAGACTGCCTTATGTACTTACAACGAAAAGAGAGTGGCCCCCGGCGCGAGATGCTATTTCCAGGGAAAGCGCACGGCCTGCATTCGCCCCTTTCTACCTTTTTCATTCCATCTTTTCTCTCCCATGGCGCTTCGCGCGACGACGATATCCTCGGCAATTTTTAAACCGTGTCTTCAAAGCCTACGTAGCGCTTTGAAATACCGCAAGATTGGATTGGTGGAATCGCGATAGAGAGACGTGGAATCTCGCGCATCGAAGAGTACAGTCAGTGTGGTCGAGGAAACTCAGTAATCCAGTAATAAGATGCAACCGGGTTTCTCGCAGTAAGCCTGCAACGAGAAACGATATCGCGGCGAATCTTTATATTAGTTCAATATCGTTCTTTGCTAAAATACATTTTGTATTTAAATTTAAAGTTTCTAGTTTGAAATGAATCCGTTCTTATGCGAGGCACATCAAGGGTTTCTTAATTACAAATGAAAAACTGGGTAAACTTTTCCCAGATTAAGCTTCAAAAAAATCACAGGAGAAATTAGATATTTATTAATTTATTTTGAAGTATCTCCTCTTTCTTGACGAGGAGTGCATCATCGATTTCTACTTAAAAATGGTAATTTACAATTCCTTCGATCGCATTGTATATACCTTCGACTGATAATTACACCGGAATCACTCGCCAGAATAACCGTGAAGCTGGTCAGGGTCGCGCGAATCCGCTAACCTAGATATAAGTCGGAGATATACATAGGCCCCTTTTTCGTGGGATTGTCTTCGGCATTCGGGTAGAATGTCGAACGAGAATTTCTTGTGTTTCGTACATGTCATCCTTCTCTCTTACACGGTCCTTGTGCGAGTGTATTTTCTATCTCGCTCTGTCTATCCATCTCTCTTCCTGTCTCTCTCCATCGTACAACCACCCCTTTCGAGCCACCCTCGAAGGCCACCCACTACCCCGCACTGCCTGTCCGCGCACTCGTCCGGGGGTGGCGGTAACTTCTCGCGCAGCCAGTGCCCGCGCGTCTCTCGCGATCGTCGGACCGCGCGTACGTAAAACGGGGGTGGTTCTCGTCGTCGTTGCTCGCGTGGATGTTTTCGCAAGCCGGAAAGACTCTCGCATGATCTGGTGCACGATCGCAAGGAAGCTCGACATTCTTCCGAAGAAGACCGCGCCTGAAGAGGGCTCCGATCGTTCGATGATCGGATCAATGATCGACCCTCGCGATCTCGAGATTCAAAGAGGGTGTAAGTGAGAGTAGTTGTTCTACGAATGAATGACATTGTGTTTCGGTTGAAGGAGGACTTTAGTCTCAAAGAAACTGCTTTGCGAATTGTTCGTGTTTCGTGAGCTCCTGAAAAAAAAGAATCAATCGATCGATATACGTTGTATAAATCTTAACGATAGATTCTACTGTTGGACAAGCGTAATTTTTCGAATATATTTCTTTTAATAATGCATTGAATGATAAAGTGATTAAGATGATTAAGATGGATTTTTATGCTCATAGCAGTGAAGAATGAATGGACGGCATAAAAATCAGCGCGATAAGATTCGGTCAAGCATGTGGGAAAGATCGAGATAATTCTGTGAGCAAAGTGCAAGGATGTTGGAGCGTGTCGAGGATTAAAGGAGACGCATTGGAATGTTAAGGGGACGTCGTCGGACGGTCCTCAATCAGCTCAAGCGAATGAGAGAAGCGTCTCGCCTTTCCAACGTGAGGATCGTCGATGGCAATCATGCTGTACAGGACGAGTCTCGTGAGGTGTGTCGACACCTTCTACATATAGAGTGAGCGCGTGAGTGTTATCTCAAGTTACCAGTTATTGAATCGAGAAAATTGAATACTTGTGGAAAAATGCATGCGCAAGATGTTACGAGAGAAAACACAAACTCTTTGATAATAAAGCTTATAATTTTTAACGAAAAATGTGACACATGAAACAGTCTTCTAAAATTAATAACAGCAATCTAGTTTACTTAGTATCTTCAAAAACAGATAAATAATTAATTGCATATCACTGTTAATTTTAACTAATTTTCATTTGCCTTTATTCTTTAGTTACATATAATTTTTATGTAATTCAAACATATAGTTTGTGAGCTGAAGGAAATTCAATTTATTCGAAATCTAATTTAGAAACGATTAAATGATCATTATTTTTGACGTAGTCTTTGAAACTCTTATAATTCCCATTGAAAATTATACAGCATTTTCTATCCTATAAGCAGTTTTAAACAATCAATCGATTAACGTATTTCATCTCGGAACATTTGCATTTCGAATACGAAAGTGATGAATACAATAAAAAGAATATGAACGATAAATAATATTAGCGCAATATCAAAAGCACATAATTCAGCCTTGCTAATAAGTATGCAAATTTCTCAAAAAATGTTTGGCAGAATTGCATTTATAAATACGAAATTTTAGTATTACGGAATTTTTGAAAAAGAATATATATATATATATATATATATATATATGTGTGTGTGTGTGTGTGTGTGTGTGTGTGTGTGTGTGTGTGTGTGTGTGTGTGTGTGTGTATGTGTGTTCGTGACACAAAATTATACAACTTTTGGAGGAATATCATTTTTACAAGAGATTTTTAAGCAACATATTTAATAATCAATAAAACATTATTTCTAAGAAAGCTTATATTATAATAATATTAAAACAATATTGATTATTTAATATTCAATTCCGATTTAGTTTATTTATTTATTACACAACTTATATAATGTTTGTAACTTAAAAAATGCGCTTGTAAATATACATATAATGTGTAAATATAGATGTGTGTTCGATTATTATTTTTAAACATATCTCTAATAAATTCCGAATGTTATGAAATGAAAATATTATACAATATAAAAAACTTTATAATGAAACTTCAGATTATGTGAGTTTATTTAATTATTCATTTTTTTCAATTTTGTTTCTTTTCTTTACTAGAAAATATTATTGAAGATTCAGAAAAATAAAAATTAAAAAAAATTAACATACACATATTACATACTTATACATATTATGTATATAGAATATATAAAGAATGAATGATGATGGATGCTTTAAAATAGTCTTTCTAAGTATGCTCGATTTAATTTGACGTTTACAATTTTGCTTGATAATGAAATCATTGTTAATTCGTGTAGACTAGAATAATAGACATCGAGCCGTAGTCATTAATCATAATCAAAACGTTCCACTGATACGATTAAGCGTGTTGTTTATGGTTGCAATAGAATTTAACTTGAAATGTTATAATATCCGCAATTGTCATGCAATTTCCGATTAAATGACAATTAATGAACAATCTATGAAGATTAAAATATCCTCCGTTCCTGTTTCTCACTCTCACTTTCTTTTCTCTTCTCTCATTCTGTATGTACTCTGTACTCTATATGCATTGCTAGATAAAGTTACACAAAGATTAATTCGCGAAAGCATATTTTCTCATTTTACTTGATTAAATTGTAAATCTTTTGTTAATTTTGTAAATTGTTAATCTTTTATTTTAATAATTTTTTATAATATATCTTTAAAATCAATACTTAAATATCATATTTAATTAAAAAATTGTTATTTATCTTCACTTATAACTCCGTTTCATTTTAATATATTATAATATTTCAGTAAAAATCCCTTATATGTCTATGAAATTTCAAAGTTACTTTTGACAAGTTGTTTGATATATTATTTTTTTAAATTTCTATCTATAATTGTTTATTTTTTATCGAAATTTTGCGAAAGATCGCATATTGTGATTTCGAAATTTTCTATTTTATTTTCTGAACATGTTATATGTATGTGTGTTTTTGTCATATAATATACGTAATATACGTATGTGTCATTTTGTCATATACAGAAATTTAAATGTTAACTGGATTTTTATTCATGTGTATCTGATATTATTAATAATATTTGCATACAACACTTCATATACATATTTATTTAAATAAATACTTTGTGAAATTTTGATGAAAAATTTGAGGAAAAATATAAGGAAAAATTTCTAAAACATTTTATGTTTGATATGCAATAGGACATATATTATTTTATGTATATACAAGGTGTTCTATTTTCAATTTTAATACAAAAATCTTAAGCAAATTTACTTTTAATTTATTATTATTTATTATATATTTAAAAATATGTTATATTATTCATAAATATTCTTAGATAGGATCTTAAGATCTTACATAATATTTATTAATTGAATTTGGATTATTAAATGACTATATTAAAAAACCTTGCGACAAATTGATTTATTTACGATATGATTAGATATATTTTTATAATTATTTTGATATGTCTCACTAATATATATATATATATATATATATATATATATATATATATAATATCGTATATATATAATATCGTATATATAACTGTTAAATGAAAATTAATTTCAATCAAATTAATCACAAATTAGATCAAGATTACATTTAAATTAATCAATTCAATTAAAATCAAATTATTATTCATTAGTAATTAGATATCATTTTTTTATTCTTTTATGGAAAGGTTGAATTTATAAATATTATAAATATCACTTTTAATTCAATGTTATATATATATATATATATATATATATATATATATATACATTTTTTAATATGTTTAAACCAATTTTAGAAGTAATTTATAAATGTGTGAATTTGTGTGTGAGAATCTTAAATTTAAATATTAAACACATGCACTATTTATGAGTAGATTATTTAATTGCAAGTTAAATAACATATTTATGTCAATCGTAAACAATATTTAGAATATATATGTACGTATTATAATTCATACGCATAGATTTCATATGCATAGATTTCATATGCATCGTATTTAACAAATTCGCATCGTGTATGATGAATAATTTTGATTAATAATGATGAGAATACATTTCGTTCATAAATTATGTAAATTTATGCAGACAACATAGAAGATTTATTTTTACATTATGGATATATATATTAAATAATATAATATAATAGAAACAAAATCGAAAATATAATAAAAAAATTAATTAAGAAAACATATTGTATACATGAGCTGTACATTATAATTTGGATAAATATTTTTCAATCGAACAAGTGAAATATGCGATATACAAATAAATGCTGAAAATGTTGTGATTGTTCCAATTAAAAATACCGATGTATATATATATATATATATATATATATATATGCATAACATGATACTAATCATTTATATTTTTAATTTGCTGATATAGACGATTATTATAAATCAATACTATATTTAATCTATTTTTTTACTATTTATGCTTTTATATAAAACTTAAGTAAGCTTCGTCGTTAATGAAACTATCGGAATCGCTTTAAAAAATGGCTTGAAAAGCCACGAGTACTTTTGATATTTCGAGCAGTTTTGCATTTGTTGAAAACGGATATGTTACATCGAGCGCCGGTCTCTTTTGCCGCGCACTTACTTCCTATTCGCAAAGAGAAGCTCCCCGAAGAGCTTCGTCGGGCTTCCACGTGAGAAAGGTGGGTTTCGCGCGCGTGTGGAACATGTGGATTGTATAACACGATAAAGTCACGGTGGTGTAACGACGCGTTTCCCCAACTTCTTTCCTACTTTAAGTATCCTTCGCACCTTCTCCCGACCTTCGTACATTTCGCACCGGCTTAATACCTTATTCTGAAATAATCGTGACAAACAAGATGCGCGCTTGTCACAAACGACATTTCTCCTCTCTCTCTCTCTCTTTCTTTTTCTCTCTCTTTCTTTCCTTCTGGCAACACGACATAAATGACATTTCCGAGGCGCACGTTTTCTGAAAGCGACGCTACGTGTTGGAAATTCATAATTTTCTAATCTGCACTCGCGCTTTTAACCGTTTCATGCAGCTGTCGAGTTTCACTCCGTGTCTTTCTTTGCAATCTTCATGACGAATCTAAGAGACATGTAAAATATATGTTAATTTAGAAAAATATTTTACATATATTAATAAAAAATTAATTAGTAAAATATATTAGTAAAAAATTTTTCTTAAATATATACGAAAAATTAATAATTGTATCTTGAAGTTTATCAGCTTTTCCTTGAGCAGAAAGGAATCGAAATTTATTAATTGCAGTTGTTTGAAGAATCTCATTTGTCAGAGTCGCGGATCGCGTCATTACGAATGATGCACATAATGTGTAACTTCACAATTAATTTCTTCGACTATTTCGTAGATCTATTTATCCTCGCACGTTACAAATACGTGTTTCACGCGATGATAAAGTTATCGATTAACCATTTACCAGTTTCTTCGTTATTCAACCGTTTAATCTCGCTCAGCGCATCGACCTTCCTTCTGAATCTCTTCAAATGTGGAAGTTATGAAATTTTCGCTGACACATCGTCGCATTATTAATCGCGCAACCGCTCACCGAGCATTCATTCGCAGAGCAATGTATCGTTGACGCGACACAGATTACATGTTACCCTTGCGCTTCAGTAATTTGTAGAAATTTATTGTGGTTTTGCTCCCACGAGGGAAAATGAAACAAGAAGGAAATGGAAGTTAGAGTTTGCGTTAAATTATCGTGTGCATTCTGTGATCAATCGTTGAATCTGGCTTGACCGATAGCTCTTGCAATACGCATCAATTTTTACCTCTGAAACTTTTGACGTCGCGATTTGTATCGCGCAACATTAATTCGCTGCGTCTTATTTATTTCTAGCTCAGTCTGTTTTGTAATAAAATTGATTTATTAAAACCTCGCGCGCGGCGAACTGCATCCCCTAAAGTGTTTAAGAACAATGATATATATCCCTTTCTATTTTATTGCCAAGTAGTTATTTTATGATCAAATAATAGTGCGCATTTGAAGATACTTTAATGTCAAATATATCTGGAGAAAGAACATTTAAAACATATTACTGCAAGTATTATTAATACTTTAATAGTCTGTTATACATTGTGCGTAATTAACGAAGCGATCTAATGGCATATGAATCTAATGGCATCACAAAATTAATATATTGTTGTCGAAGAATCGTATATCTTTGCAGATTATGCATTTTAAACATTTTAGTGAGAGATTAAATTTGTAAACTTCATATAATAAGCGGGATTACTTTTGATAAGCAAAGACTTAAGATCAAAGCCACTTAATCATTTTTATATTGCTGACGCTTGTCATCTTATTTCAACGGAAATTAAAAATTATGATAATATGTAAAGTACAAGCATATCTACTCCTATATTTTGCGCGTTGAAGCACTCCGTAAAGTGTTTAAGAAAACGACGATATATATCTTTCGATTCTTTATTATAAAATAATAGCATGCATTTAAAGTTACTTGCGCGAAAATGCAATGGACATGTAAGATCGTAAAACTAAATGATTGCAGAGAAGGTAAAAAAAAATATAACTTCTGCATATAATCATATAGTTCCCAGCTTTTTTTATGATCTAAGACGTTATTCTTTCTACCGGTTAATCTTTTTCAATCGTAAAACCTATGAAGAGCGGAAGTGACGCGATTTTTATTGACAATAAAACGCACTCTCACGCGAAATGTTATCCACTGCAACAGAACGTTGACGAATATATCGTTTTATCTCTAACATTCAATTTTCTAAATTGTCACCACACATAAAAAGTCACCACACATAAATAAGTCCTCATCTGCGAATAATTTATATATATTTTTGTAATCGCATAAGAAAGAACTTACATAAATCTCAAAACTTATATATCCTGATATTTCATTGTTGTTATTAATTAATTAATTAATTTTATCTTTTTATTTATCTGTTATAAAGAACTATTTTATCTTTTTGTTTAGCCATTATAAGCAATTTTAATTGGCAAAATAAAATTTTTTTCTGGGTAATGATTATATTTAAAGAGATATATATCTCTGCATACATTTCAGATTTTAAAAATAATTAATGTCTGTAAAATATATCGCGCCGCTTATAATTCCTCGTAATATCCCTTCATTGTGCAAGATCCAACGTTGTAATGTTTGCAAAAAATGCGCATAATTTAGAGATACATTCCCACGTGTTGGATAAATTTTTAACAAAATAGCAAAGTGTGTGTAGCGCGCGACGCTTTCGCTAAAATCTGCTTCAAGTCAAAGAGGATTAAAAATAGGGAAAGGAAAGAGCCGAGAAAGAATTACGATGGGGCTAATAAATAAAAGAAAAGAAAGTGTTTTAAACACAACGGACACACCCATATAATTGAGCGGGGCGCTTAGGAACACTCAAATAAACGCACAAAGAGAGCGAGAGAGAAAAAGAGAGAGAGAGAGAAAGAGAGAGAGAGAGAGAGAGAGAGAGAGAGAGAGAGAGAGAGAGAGAAAGAGAGAAGTAAAGCTACCCCCGCAGGCTAAATTGGGTTAGTTGAAATCCGTTTACGCTAACTCTAATGGCAAAAGCGTGAGCCGCATGCGGCATCGACACCAAAACATCGGCCGAGAGCCACCACCTCGCGAAAAGGGTGGTTCAATGAATAGAGCAGCGAGAGCGGCCAGTTTATTCGTTCGGCCAGTTTTTCGACCGTCGAATATCGATACCGAGCGCTTCACTTTTCGATTCGATTTATCTTGCACATCATTCGAAACGTGCAGCGCGGATTGCATAACATAACATATAGAGAGGCTTTGAAACGAGCTCACGTGATACGATATCAAGACTTTCGATTAACGACAATTGATATCTACAATAATTTATTGAACATAATCAATTAGCTTCGTCATTTGTACGTAATGAGGATAACACGCGTAGGGGTAGACCGCGTGATCGAATTTCACGTTATTTGCATTCGCATGATGCAACAGCATGTTACATCAAGTATCGGTGGATAACAATGCATGTAATTGAATTCATATCCATGTGTTTAATAATCAATGGTTAAGGCAATAACTTGTGCCAGTACATAATCATGTAAATGTATCGATATTACTGGCAAAATAACTATAATTACGTGGATAATAAATAATTCTATAATAACGCACATATTAAGAGACATTTATCAATGAGATAACGATGACATTAGCAGATTGTTTACGAAATATTTCAACAGCTAATGCATATAGTATTAGCAGGGATTAAAAAAGTGCAGATTATGACTATATATATATATATATATATATATATATATATATATATATATATATATATATATGCTATATTATAACGATGTTAATTATGGACTGAAAAAAATAATGGATGTATCAGATGCAACGCGAATCCAAAATTTTCGCTCGCAAACTCATATGTTAGTCATTTTACCAAGGAAATTATGGCTGTTGTGTCTCTCGACGACGTTCCTCGTAGTTTGTTTCCTCAAAATATCGTCGAGGTGGAAGAAATTCTCCCACGCGTTGAGAAAATTCGTTCTGATTCAACTACATTTTTCTCTCGTAACGCAGTTTTAAGTACATGCCAACTCTGTCTGTGTGTGTTGCGCTAGAGCGCGATCGAAGACATCGAGATTGTCGCGCGACACAACGCGGGTATATATATGTCATGGAGATAGAGTCGTGACACAGGGTACATTATCGTAGCAGGACCGAAAAACTCCCGAAATCGCTTCCGAAATAAAGAAAAAGATTCTCTCTATCTCCCTTTCTCCCTTTTCCCGCTTCGACGGTATCTTCGACGGCGTAAGGTCGTATCTATACCGGAAAGGTTAAAGGCCAAGCTCCCTTTTTTCCATCTCCCCTATGGAAAATGCACCTCCGAGAGCAGAAGCGCGGTCGCGATTTTACTCCGGAGACCGTACCATTGTCCTTTTTCTCGTCTTCTTCGAGGTCTGGCGCAAATAAAAATAACTGGACCCTGATTCCTATAACGTTGATGCACTACCATAGCAACTACGTTAAAAAGTGTATAACAGTGTTTCCCACCTTGTGTCTAAATTGCGATTTTTTTGCGAAAGAGATATCATGCACAATAGGAATAGGTGATATTATTGTGCAAATTCTCTTAAAGAAAGAAAATGATCTCTTTCTTTCTTAATTTTATTAATGTATTTTTTAATTACATATTTTTATTATCATTTGAAATAAAATGCACATTCTTCATATAATGTATATAAAAAAACTTAAATTAATTTAGCGAGTTATTTTTTTAGCTACACACTGTTTAGTTATACATACACACACACATTATCTCTCTCTTCCTCCATGTCTGTGTATGTGCATGTGTGTATGTGTATGCAGATGTATGTCTATTGTATATACATTTTATATGTATGTATATACTTTTATATCTTGTAGAGAATCATGCTAACCATTTAAGCAATTAACCTTTCAGAAAGTGTAGCCTACGGCTAACCGCTCAGTTGGTCTGTTTAAATTCTGATTTTATAAAGGATTTCGTTATTTTACATTTGCGTTATTTTCTCCAGTAAATGTTAAGCAGAAGAATACATTTAATGAATAAATACGAGTAATATTTTAATATCTGTACAGGCGTGCGTAAGAGAACAAAGAATATTAGAAAAATGTTATTTATCTACGTGTATATCTGTAAATTGTGGCAGTTTGAAATTAATTAAAATCAAAATCTACCGTTTTTTTAATCTCTCTCTATTTTTGTATATATTGAATATCATCTTACATTAAATTTGCGATTTACTCGAACGCTTTCGTATTATATTGCAAGCTTCTCGTTTTTTATTTTCAGATTGTGTCCCGCACGGAAGATGATGGTCATCTAAAAATCCTCTCCGACGTGCGACGAGTCTTTGAGGATGTGCAGTTCGGTGTTAAAGTGTCGGTGAGAGCGGAGTAATCTCGCGTATATCTATGATTTCCTTTTCTTTCCTTTATTACGCTTTATCTTACGGAAAATCCGCACGAACGATGTCATAGCCGTCTAAGTGCAAACTGTCTTTACGTCGGACACGATGGCACTGTTGTTCGTCATAATCGTTGTTTCGATTACTACTGCTATGTCATTGCCGCCGGTCATTAGAATCGGTGAGTATCAATCTATATAGTTATATCTTAATTTCCAACTTACTTATCCACAAGATTCAATTACCATAATATAATAACCTTGTCATAATAATCCGCCTTTCATCTTGATTACTTAACGATTAGTTAAGTTTACTTAAGTAAATTATTAATACATTAAAAATAGTTCGCGAAACAATTTATGAAGTTTTACAATCGAAATATATGAAATTTTAGAATCGAAAAAGATTCTTTTTATTCTCGCTATACGTTTTTAAACTTCAAAAATATTTTACAAATTATATAACATGTTTTTTTTATTGTTTAAGTTTCTTCATGACTTATGATTTTGCACATCGTTAATCATAGATTACCAGTACAGAAAAAGCGAATTGTCCCTAGGCGTAGTTCGTTCTGGACTGTCAATTAGTTTGGTCATCCATGTGAAATTATCCGGTCTTTTGTTATACGCCCGCAAAAAAGATTTCCACAGCGATCTATTGTACGGTAGGATTTACGTTATATTAAATCTATGGATTTGCGCAAATACAATAGCAAATAAGCAAGCTTGCGACAATGCGAAACGAACGAGGACGTGATGCGAATTAAATATCCGAAAAAAGATGACATTTTTATCTCGGGGATCGAAAAATATTATCTTTATTAATTTCTGAGGTATAATAACTAAATTATTTAAATATTTATAACTAAATTTAAATATTTATATCTATAAATATTAAATATTTATATTTATATTTATTTATTTATTCTACTTATTTATTTGGTAACATATGACATTACATAATATTAAAGATAATAAACAAACTTTTATTATAATTATCATTTATAAATATCATTGGATTGAAGCGTCTCGCAGAATAGCATATAAGTTTTCTCGCGCATCTCAGTTTCTGCAAACTTATCATAGTAAGTCAGTCTCAGGTTTCGATCTTCTCAGTCTATAACTTTTTCCACATCATAGACCGCGAACTTGGCCGTAACTTTTCGCTGGGTGATTATGCCTCACCGCCGACAGGTAGATGCGCAGGTAGATGCGGTTCGGAATTACAGAGTACAGAACCGCTAAGTACAACGCGCGCGCCGGGATCGAATCTTCACCTGTTACTGCGCTCGCTCGACTTCATCAGTATGAGCCTCATTAGTATTCCAAAGGCGTTCGCGTGGGTGTAGGGCAGACGTGTCCGTGCGTGGGATGCCGGGCTTCGACTCCGGCACGTGTATATGTGTCACACTATTCACTCGTAAAGAGAGACACGTACACATACGTAATACGCGACGCGAGAGCGGAGGACTCGAGGGCTGCTGCCGTTGCTCGCCAGTTAAGTCTGACAGGAAAGTTTTCCGCCGATCTAATTGGTTGAATTTCTGCGGGGCAACCACCTCGAGGGAAACTTGTCCGCAATTTTCTATCGTATCGTTGTGAGAATGAAGAGAGGGCGATAAAGCGAGCAGGGACTTGTCAGACGAGGCGCGCGCGTCTTATGTGGAACAAATGGAGAACCCGAAAGAAAGTAAGATGTCCCTGGAGGGACCGGGGACCCTCTTCCCGGCATCTCGACACGCGGCGCATCTCTGAGAGATCGCGAGACCGCAAAGAAAATACGAGGGATATTATGTATTCATGCCCGCTACCATAATCTTTCTCGCATCTGGGAACGTAATTGAAATATCTATTACACGCGTCGAAAAGTTGCGCGCATAATGTGAACGTAAAAATATAAAGACTAATACGATTAGTTGAATAATTCAGCTGGCCACATGTGGTGCCAAGGAAAAAATTAATTCTTTCTTTTTATGCATACGTTAAAAAGAAAGAGAAAGAGAAAGAAAATGAAAAAATTTTGAATTAGAATGTAGCAATATATATATGTATATATAGATGTCATGTAAAATAATCTGGAAGATAGAAATTACATGATTATTTTTCAAACAATAGATTTACGGATCGTTACGTGAAGTAAAAAATCTGCTGCATCCTTCAGTAATAACAAAAAATAGAATGGTTTTCAAGATTTTTATAGATAATAGCGAAAAAAGGGAACAAATTGAAAATTTTGTTCAATCTTAAAATTCTAATTTATCTTAAAATTCTTGTAATATAAATTAATAAATAATACAAGAGTCATTTCATATGCACAAAATATTTGTATTTCATATTTATTAAATAAAGCATTATAATTAATTATGTTTATTGATAATATATACAAAAATATATTATCTCTTAGAATCTTTAAACGAAAATGTAAATATATTCTTAAAATATAATTAAATAGAAGAAAATAACGAAAAATATATCCATTATTAAGAATTATATAAACATAGATATACATATAATAGTTTTATTTGTTATTTTATTATTTTATTGTATTTTATTATTTATTGTAGACGTTACATTTTTCACATTTTCTCATAGTTAATTAAATAAAATTATTAAAAAATATATATTTACTTGTAGCCAATTAATAAACTAGAACCGGGATATTAACACATTTATGGCCAATGAGCTGTTAACAATCTGAATATGATATATGAAACGCATTCTGTACATTATAAATTGAAATTGCAGTTATTTCATATATAGCAATGCGCTCAATGTATCATTTCAAATATGGATACGGTTAGAATTTTTTTCAAAACTTGGTATGTTATTCATATATATATATATATATATATATATATATATATATATATATATAAATGTTTACATATTTTTCACAAGTTTTTTTTATTCATATTTATTTATGTATTTTTTATGTACTTATTTATTGTAACTCCGAATTATATTTAAAAAAAAACAATTTCCAAAGTATACATCATACGTTTAAAAGTGTTTTAATTTTTAGAATTTTCATGATTTTATCAACATTAACCTATTTAATTTTTTTGATACATGATTATGCAGCTTTACGCAATTATTCCGGGATAACCGCATGTCATCAATAATCTTTTTGAAAAAGACATTTGCGCGCACCATGAGAAAGACCATAAGAAAGGAAGGTTATTATACCTGTTGAAAATATAGCTTGCTGAGAAAATTATTTATTGCACGATCGATACGCATCCATTTTGCATCGCATTGAATCAAAATGCAAGTCATTTATTAATATTACATTGAAAACGTCGTCAATGGCAGACACGATCATAAATTTTATCATTTGCACATCCGTATTTCGCGCACAAATCTTTGATCGTCTATGCTCTAAGAGAATATCATCAAGCTCAGCTCTCTACGCTCAAAATCAAAACGATAAAAGGGGCATTCTAGTCGCAGTACCAACGTTATATGCAGTAAATTACGGTATACAGATGCAGGTACACAGGGCAATAGGCGATACTCATCAGCGCGTGTAACTTTTCCGCAAAGAATTTCTTTGTTTGCGATTTTATGACGCGGGATGTGAGCGCGGGAGGCGAGCGGATTAACGTAATCCCGAATGACATCGCGGAGCGGAAATGGTGAAAAAGAAAAAAGTCACGAATGGGGAAGCGCGAATACTCGATAACGATCAAGGTATCTTCAGCAAACATCACACTGAGATGGGACTGTAAATGCAGTCGCTCTCGTATTTTCCGAGAAACGGGAACGATATGATTTGCATATGCAATGCTAAATCAACTGTCGTGAAGGATTTCCGACAAGTGGTTTAGTCGTGAATAATGACATATTCCTTAATACGATGAACAATTCGCAGTTCCAATAAAAATTTATTATTCGTTGTACCTTTAGATAACACATTCTCCTTATTGAAGTTTGCTATTACATAATTTATGATCGTACGAGTCTTTAAATTTCATGACAGCAATATTCTCGCGCTATGTTTTCGTGCTTTAAGTAAACCATTTACAAGAGCGCGAGACCCTACGAAATTTCAAATACTTCTTAGAATAAGAGTTTTGCCAAATTTACGCACGAGAGACTGCAATTCTACGACCACTTTTTCTCTATTGTTACCTAAGATATGTACAAAGCGTGCACATTTCCCAAATGCGACTTCATGAATCGTCGTGAGTTACACAGCTGCAGCACGTGTTTCGCTATCCGCATAGAAATTTCCCCAGCTTTTCCCAGATACAACGTAGATTCCGATTAGAATGCCCAAATTTCCTTCAAATGTCGTACTACGATACCAATTCGAGATTCCATTTTTATTCCAATTACAGCTCTTTTCGATATAGAATTGAAATAGAAATAGATACAAAATCCGTATCTTTTTATTTGGTAGATTAGATTTTAATAAAAAGTACATTTTTATGGAATTGGATAAGAAATCTCATTTTTATAGATTTTATAGTTAGTTATTGAATTCTTTTAATAGAATAAAAAATAAAAATATATTAGTTTTTTACTACTACGCAACATATTGACTTTCTCGCATTTAAATTTCTAGATTGAATATAAACCCTGCAAAATACGGCTGTTATTTATAAGATAAAATATATTAGCATTTTTTATTTATTATCTTAAAAAATTTGATTTTATTTCTGCAAAATATTCTCAAAATATTTAACTGATTTTTTGGCTCTATTTAATTATTTCAATGTTTCAACAAAAACGGAATATCAATCAATGATAATTGGGCCGTTGTAAATTTCTTTTTGAGCAAAGCTTTAAAGATTCTAAATAAAATTTTAAATATTATTTTTAATAATAATGTTAAATGGATATTAAACAAAATTAGGAAAAAAACATGAGAGAACGCAAATGGCACTTGCTTGGATTTCTCGTTTGAAATCACGTTTTTTTTTAAATATGATGTAATCTGAATATTTTTAGATCTTCGAGGAAAACCATATTTTTTTAATGAGAAATATGATTAAAGTTTATTTAAATTTCAAAAATTGTTCTATGCGGATGAAATCGATGCTGTACGTTCGTGCACGAAAATTATCGCATGCAGCTACATCGCCGATACACTGCACTTTGAAAGTATCACAATCTCTTCAATCTCTTGCTCGACACGCTAAAAAATTTTTAAATCCTCGAAAAATATGCACACGTGGAG